TGTATTTTCGTGCATGTAATGGTTCTTTATAATTTAATAAATATACAATACCAGTCTGATTGCGATTTAAAAATATATATATATATATATAGTTACGGACTTATATAAGTCTTTAAAATATAATTCTAATAATTATATATATTAATAAAGTAATATGTTTAATTGTACTTTGCTTATTTTAAAAAAACAAAATAAATAAAAATAAAAAATTAATCTTTAAGATTTCTTTTCTCAAAAATTATCTTATAAAGTATATTTAATTTATTATTATTAATATAAAAAAATTCAAATTTTAATTATATTAATTATTAAATTATTTTTATTTCTATTAAATCTTTAATTTAAAAAAAATTTTGACTTATATATTAATTTTTATTATAATAGTAAAAAACTTTTAGAAATTTTATAGAAGCTATTATTTATTTTAAGTTATTTTATATAAAAAATTCAAAATTCTAATTTCAAATTTCAAATTTATAAAGGTTAATTAACAACCTTTTATTTTTACTTTATATGGCACTAATAAAATAAAATAAAAATAAAACTAATAATAATAAATAATAATAATAATCAATATTAATTATTTATTTAAATCTTATTTTTTATAATAATAGTTTTTTTAAATGTAAATAATAAAATTTTAAGATTATAAATCCTAATTGACTGATTAACCAATCATAGCATTGTGAGAATAATGTACTAAATGACATACATGAAAGTATATACTCTCCAAGAAAATGGTTCAAACAAGTTTGACAGAAACACAGAAACAAATATGCATCGGGGTTTTGGGTATTTGTCAAAATGAATAAACCTTTGATTTCGTTCTTATTCGACATTTTCTGAGTACCCAATAAATTTTGTATATAGCCCTTCAGGGAGCTTTTCAAGAGCACATACACATGCTTCAACACATTCCCCAGGTCGCTTTAGCATTTCCTGTACGTACTACCGAACAGCTTCGTTCCGTTGATGCTTTAATAATACCTGGTGGTGAATCCACTACTATGGCTTTAGTGGCTGAGCGTTCAGGAATATGGGACGATTTAAAGGAATTTGTTCGTACAAAACCTACATGGGGTACATGCGCTGGCATGATTTTATTAGCTAATGAGGCAACAAAAACTAAGAAAGGTGGTCAGAGATTATTGGGTGGACTTGACATTACCGTAAATCGAAATCAGTTTGGAAGCCAGGTATCGTATTTGCTTTCTTCGTTTAATGTATAGAAAAATACGCTTACCATCTAAATTTTTTAGATCGATTCATTTGAATCGTCACTTCATATATCTCACGTTACCTCTTCCACCAAGGATCTTTTTCCAGCAGTGTTTATTCGTGCACCTATAATCTCCTCTATAAACACTCCTGATGTCGAGAT